TACGAACAAGTGTTCTTTGTGATGTTTTTACATCTCTGACAGCAAACAATCCTCCTCGTAGTGAATATCCAAATCCTTCGCTCTATGAAAAATTTAATTCATATTTAAATTAATTAACTTAACTTGTTTTGAGATTTAATTTGAATTTAGAATTAATTCCAAATTGCTAAGTCGTAATCGACCCGTACGAATATAAATTTTCTCATTCTTTACTTTCATTTATATTTCTGTATCTCGTGTGATAGAAATTGTCGTGTAAAATATAGAATTAAATAAAAATTAAATATTGAAATAAGAATAGACAACTATTGCATTGTGGAACACGGTGAATGCTGCTATAATTCAAGGCGCGAGTTTGTGTTTGCGTTGTATGCCGGAAGTCGAGGGCCAAGGACAGGGAACAGGGACTGTCGTTTGGATCCGGGGCTCCTCCGAAGCTTTCGGGGTGAATTTGAAACGATGGATAGCGAGATTAGGGTTGGAATCTTCGTGTATCTATTTTTCATACGGTGTAGTGAATTGATGGCCGGTTTGTGGGTCAGTTTCAACGGGGAAGAATTGGAAATGAACATTGTTGGGAGTTTACCTCCGACGAGGTTATGTTTTATAGAATATATAGATATTTTCTAGTCCATCAATAATCCATCGAGGACCAAGCTGTGTTGACCCAACTTTTTTATTTAGTCTCGTACACGTCATCAATTTTAAACATTTCTCTTTTTTTTTCATACGACGTGAATGAACAAAAGATCGACTCGAAGATTAAGGAACTTTCTCTTTCAACATGCTGCCGCTCGAATTCCCGGTCACATCGCGGATCAATGACTTTTTCTCGAGGAAGTCTCGGCCATTAAAGCGTAACTCGGTCATTAATAAACGAGCTTCGTTCTTTGACTCATTCTTGACACGGTCTCTCTCTCTCTCTCCTACTTTAAATGCGCCATAAAATCGTCCTCGATCACAAAAGCGATCGTGTGTGGATCTCCTCCGTTAGTTTCTTCCTCTGTCGATCGTTGACCCTAATTGACCTATTCCACGAAGAGGTCGACGTAACGCGAAGTCACACCCCTCAACCGCGTCAAGTTTGATTCTTTACGAAATCCCTCCGAGGCTACACGTAATTGAATGCTTAATAAGAAGTTTTTCAACTCGGAGACTATGATATTAGAAAGTATCGGGGGAGGATATCGGAGTTGTTAATTCGGTGCTTAATTTTTCACGCGGTTTAACGAACTTTATTCATAAGAAGTTTCTTCAATGTGAATGCCTCTTCATTCCCTAACATCCACTCTTTATTAATCGACTTCATCCTCTCGCAGAGAGAACTTTCTCGATGTACTTTCTGTCGCTCGTAAATATATAGCCATTTTTCAACAATTTGCATCAAAATGAGAAAACACAAGTGAAAAAGCTCACTTCTCGAACAATTATCATAGAGACGTATGTGCGTATTAGAAGGAACATTCTGAAATTTCATTAACGAAACAGGATCTTTATTCATCCCATGATCTTTATTATTTGTAAAATATAAAACTGTTGCAAAAATTTACAAAATGTTGAATACCTATCGTCGGTTTCTCAAAATTATTTACAAAGACAAACAAAATTTCGATCCTCCCCTCCTCGATTGAAATTAACGTTCACTCACGGAAGGTATGGTTTCCAAGTTAAGAGATTGACTTCCAATATCATCGTCGATGCTTCGTCGAACAAGCACCGGCGTCCCTCGCGTGTCTCACGCTTCGTTCATATCTCGGCACGACTCGCCAAGATTTCCCCCTTGTATCGCAAAGGAAACGTCTCCCCCTACCCCAACCTCACTCTCTCCTCTCACCTCTCGTCTGACTAAATACCTCTGAGAACGAAATTTTCCGTAATTAGAGAGAAAGCGGCCCCTTTGATCTCCCCTCCGTTGCGGAGGAGCACCGCGAACGAGCAAAGAGATTGCCCTCGCAAACGATCGATCGAAATAATTGCGCGGCCCCGAAATTTCCATAACGCGATGGAGCGGCTGCCTGTTGGTTTTCCTGTTGGCTCGCAATTTGCCACAATTTAAGCACCGACCCTCTCTCAGCCCACGTGTAACGAGTATCTCTCTCCGGTAAACGGTTCGTGTTATCAATTAGGCTTCATCGGGTAGCTTCGTGCCATATAAACTCGATTATTTCTTATCGCGTCGATGCGAGGGGGGGGATTCGCCCTTCGCGTCTCCTCCAGACATCGTGGAATTCACACTCTGATAGAAACGAGTAGTTTTGTACCTGTGGGAGAGGAGGTGAATCGATGGCTGGTTATTAAACGGGAAGAGAAGAGAGAAATTTTCGAATAAGCATAGGGTGTTAACTTCAAGTCGAACGTCTAAGTTACTATTAATGGTGCTATTAATGTTAAGAAGAAGAAAAAAAGACCAAGTAGGATTTAAACGATTTCGAAACGCATTTGATGTTACTAAGAAAAAAATCCTGTGGAGGTCATTTTGACAATTATTCTCAAAACCATACATCCAAATTTTCTGTTAATCGATGTTTCGTTCGATTCAGATTCTAACATATTACGTGAAATATTCGATCGTGAAATTAGATTTCGAACTGCCAAACAAGATTAAACGTGAGATTTAAACTGTGTAACAATAATTGTGTAAGAAATAATTTCTTCGATCTTAGTAACCAAAGCGATAACCAACAAGCAGTTTACGTTCTATAATTGGCACATAGAAAGATACTCCCCTGGAATTTCCTGGCTCGCTGCCTATTTCACTTGAGAAGCAGAAAGAAGGAAGAGAGAAGGATATTAACCGTAGAATCCTCGAAGCTAATATCCCAGCGAAAGTTTCATTTCAACCGCGACCTCACCGCCGCGCGAAACGCGAACTCGAACTCGAACTCGAACGCCGCGAGAGTATTGCGAAATATTAACACCGATATTCAACCATGAAAATATCACTCGAACTCTCTTCAGGCCCGCGCCTGTTCAAAGTCTGAAAACTCACGGCGAGTTTCCCCTCCACTTCTGGTCGAGTTTGAATTCTCGAAGACGACGACGACGCCGGCCGGTCGGCGAATAGATTTCTGAAAGTTCCAGTTTGCGCCCCCCCCCTCCCCCCCTCTGCTTTCCCCTTTGGAAGGAGTAATTAGAGAGAAGAGTCGCGGCGAGGAGCGGCGCGAGTTCGATTCCTTCCTTGAAACCACTCCGTCGCGAACAGCGGGCCAAGTTGCGCGGGTGGGAAGAGAAAAAAAGTAAACTTTTAATTTATTTAAAATCCCCGTGATATTCGAGGCGAGGCGAGGGATGGCCCCGCTCGCTAATGAATTCTTATTCGATGCCGAAATTAAAGAAGTCGCGAGGGGCGGTGAAAGAAAGAGGGGGACGCGGTGGAAAACTCGAAGCTCTCGGTAAGCTCTCGGGTAAGGAGAAAAAGTGGACGGAGTGGGCGAAGGGCGGGAGGATATCGTGTATCAGAAGTTACGTTTATCGTATGAAGCGCGCAGTTTTCCAGGCTGTAGGTAAGTTTACCCTTGTACAGCTTCCTTCGCCACCCTCCGTTTCCGTTTCTCTCGCGCGGCTCTCGACGATCGTGCGTTTCGATCGATCCGCGATGCCCTTCGTCGCAACGTACAGCCGAGTACCGACCACCTTTCGGGTTTCAACGTGTATTAACTTTCGGAAACGGAAGCCTTCCCGGGAGGGAAATTGCTGTCACGCGAACGAGAGAATCGAAACAATGCAGTCGAATCTGGTTATTGGCGTAAAAGCTCTCTCTTCGAAACACCGCAGATTATTAAAGTTATATTTGCACCGGATTTTATAGTTCGTCACTTACTTACGTATCTTTATGAACGCACTGTAATGGGATCCGAATATTGTACTGGTAAAACCGATTCGAAAATGTATACAGAAGCTACAAAACATTTATTATGAACATAACATAACGTTTAAGATAACACGCTTAAAGATACAATATAATAATGGTATAATAATATATATCAATTATTTATATTATATTTAACAAATGTAACGATCACAAGTGCTATTGTGCATAAATAATTGGACATCTAGTGTAATTCTATCAAAAGATTGGTATTTTTATTTCATTTCTGTAGCTACGATCAACACATTTTTCTACTGTTTTTATAATACTATTGTAGTATTATAAATACTAGTATTATTTATATATATAAATATAAATATTATTATATAATACTATATATTTATAATACTAATTTTTCTAATACTATTGTTTTGTAATAATCTACTGTTTTCTACTGTTTTTACCATAACGGAGATTAAATGTTTTATTTATTCTGAAACAAAGTCCCGTATTCATAACTAACTGATATAACTTTAAATGTAACGAAGAATATATATATATATATTTTTTTCTTCTAATATTACATTGAACATGACACATTTAAAGTCACTTGACTAAGATTTTGCAAAATTAATCTTCAGTGACGTTCAATTTTATTTATACCATATTATTATTACTGATATTGATATTGTTACATATTAATTAAAAAGGTTCATGCGATTCATATTTTATTTATCTGTAATAAATAAATTAATCTGTAATAAATATTTTACTTATCTGTAGTAAACAACTGTCCAAATACTCAGGCACAATAGCGTACGTCCGCTATTATTACACGAATTACACCGATACGGAAGACGCAATTCAAATCACGTGTTAAACCTTATCTAAGATAAACGTGAGCCAAGGAGAAAATATCAAATATCTCTTTTTATAGATTATCAAACCTCTGAAGATTCCATCCGATCTTCGTAAATGACCGTGTCACGTACAATAATTCAAGCAACCGCGCTTACTACAGAAGCCGTGCAACTAATCGAACGAAAACAGACGTTCCCATCCGCATTCCGCGGTCCATTCCATCGAGATCCAACCCTACGACGTTTCTACCGAGTAATTGCTTCGATTCGTACATTCATCAACTTTTCTATCCCCCTCGGCGAGGGTGGAGGATGGACAAATATTTTCTTCCAATATCTGGAGGACGAGCGTTCCTCCTTTGAGGAGTGTGAAATTCAGTAGAAACAAGCGGGAATCGTCAGACGCGGCGGAGAGATATCGTTCGACACCATCGCCATCGGCGATACCGCTGATACGTTTTCGTTATCGTTCTCTCTGGAGCATCGTATTAAGTAGCTGCGAGCTTTCTGCGCGTCTGCACGAAGCTCTTGATTCAACATCAAAGCGACCGGCTAGATGTGTATTTTTCCCCGTGATCCCTCCGGTTTCGTTTCACCAGAGCTAACATCCAGCCCGTGAACGCGAGCCAACCAACCAATCAACCAACCGCCATGAAAGTCATCCACCGAAGTGATCGTCTGACCGTCGAAATGATCGAACCGTGGGATTTCAAGGGTGGCGAACGTGACACTTCGAATGAATTCCATTCGAGATTTGATAATTCGGATAATGAAATTAGTGAATCTGCGAACAGTAACATTACGAGGGAAATTGGTGTTGTCTCGGTTGCGTTTGTTTGGAAATCATTGGTTGAGAATTGTCGCTTGTTTGATGGCATAGCATTGTCTTCGTGCCGTTACATGGTAACGTTTCGGTATAATATGTAATACGTAACATTCGAAAAATTGGAGACTCGAGCAGAAAATTCGAGAAATCAATATCAGACAACGAATGAAATTTTGTTCGTCGCTCCTTCAAAGATTCAACCAAGTTATAGTTAAATTCGATGTGAATTTCTCTCAAATTTAAACATGTTTATTTTATCGTTATTGGACGTAATCTTTAAATGCTTAAAACGTTTTTTATATATAAATAGGCACTTGAAACGTTTTATATTGGAGAAGTTTTGAGAGTCTGAGACAGATTAATTCAATTTTATTTCTCACGGAGAAACTGGACCTGTTCGAGTATTGGGGTTCCACGTTTACCATTGCTATGCAATCAAGTAAACGATTGTAGTCTTAAAACTACGTACATCAGTGCCCACTTAGTTGATAGTGGTAATTCCTATTCGTTGTTGCAGGATTTAATTAAACTTTGAACAATCACGTTCAACGAGATTTCTCTATATCTCTGATGCAACTCACTTTAATCTACTTGATTCTAACGCCTTGCTTTCGCGATAAGATTTCAAAATTCTGGCAACTAAGTGGGCGTTACTGTAGCTGTAGTATTTGAAAGCGAAACTAGAACAAACATCCTCGTCGTGTCAAACGTTGAGCAGTAACGAAAGTAGAATCGAGAGTAACAACGTTGTAGCCATCACCTGTTCCGAGCCAGAGCCTTGTTTCTCAAATGGGATTTTCGTCGCCTGTGTTCTTACACTGGAACGTGTTGCGATCCATTTTTTGTAGTAGTTGACGTCGGTGTACACACCGGGTGAACGTGGCCGGGCGCAACCATTCCCGCCGGAAACCACGCCGGTTAGAATTCCCTTGCAGATCATACCACCTCCGGAATCACCCTTGAAAGAAGAAAGATTCAATTCGTAAAGAAGCAAGCAATAATTTTTTTTACAATCTTCAATTACCATAGAATCCAAATGGATGAAATGGTGATCAAAGAGATATTTGGAATTACTTTTCATAGTCGTCGGTATTGAAAAAAAAAAAAAAAAAAAACGGAATTGGATATTGCAAATTTACGGAAAGAAATTTTTTTTTTTTTTGGTGAAATGTTAATGCAACATTCGGTTAAAGAAAGTTTACGATAAATTCGCCAAGTTTACATTTTCATTCACTTTTTCGATTTGCATTGAGTTTTGCACCGCGAGTTTTACTTTCATATTCGAAAAATTCGTCTGAATTGATCCATATAAAATAATATTCTTACGAAACGTAGCAACAAATTTGTCGCGACGAAAGGATCAGATTAATCAACGATGAGCTTGCAACTGTATCTAACGCGACGAAAGAGGAGCCTTTAGCAAAGTGATTAATATGTCACTGTCAGAATAACAAAGTATATTTTAACCCGATTAGCGTCGTTCAAATTGTTTTCTCGCAAGAATTGCTCGATGTTTTAATAGAACGTATACGTTACTTGGCAAGCATCCTTCTGGCCCTCTATATACCCAGCGCAGAGCATCCCTGGTGGGAAATCAGTTATGTCTTCCAGAAGTTTTTTGCACGTGCCGCGACTCAACAATGGCAGGTCCACGTACATAAGGTTCTCGCTCGTCACTGGATAATCCTACGCAAAAGTGTCTCACATATTGAACCAAGATATTTTTCGAATCGTCGATTATAGTTAGTTTTTAATTTTTCTGAATATAGTAGCGGAAGATCGAAAATTTAAAATTAAAGTAATATCTCGATATTGATATTTTAATTTTTAATTAATATATTGAATCAATATTGAATTAATAATTGATATTGAAATAAAAATTGAAAGTTAATAAATTAATCTATTCAATGGTAAAAATTAATAACTTTTATATTTATTTATCATCATTACAACGACAGTCATTTATATATCGTATCTACTCATTTCTTTCGTTAAATTTATAAAATCGAAGACTTTCTCCTATTTAAACGTTCTTGTTTCTGATATATAAATTACCGTTGATTTTCAATTTTTGTAATTAATCACGGTGTACCCAAACCTACGCAATGTTCTCCAAAAATAGTTAATGATAGAAGAAGCAAACGAACTTACTTCCGCTGGGTAACCCCATCCTGCTACTTGGCAAATGGTGTCTGGAATAGGGCTGTTATCCGCGAGGGGAGCAACGTTAACTTCCGGCGTTAATTTAAACGGCACCTTGAGCTGCAACGTAAATGTCAGCGAGGTAGAATTATTGTTATTAACACGTGGAAGTGAAAACAATTAAACAAAAAGAGGCAAAGATTTAAACGATCGTACAGCAAGAAGAGCTATGTCGTTCTCCAGTGTTTTGGGATTGAATTCGGCATGAACGTGAATCTCGTCCACACCCCTTTTCTGACCGGTCTCGCTCAACTGACTGAGTTTGAGGTTTCCAGCAACTACCGTGATTCTCCACGGTTGCACCTGGTCGCCAGTTCTGTGAAAACGACACACGCGATTCAAAACGATTGCTAATAAACAGAGCCACGAATGTTCATGCATTCGTAAGGGGATTTAAATATGCAACGACGTGATTTACCATAATATTCAAAACTATACGAATTATTCAAATTGGAATGCACGATGCGACGCTGAATAAGTGAAGCAAATTTTTGTTGAAATTCCATTTTCCTTGGTTACCTTCATTACGTTCAGAGGCACGGATTTGCATAAACGTCCACCGTCTGCCCAACGTAATCAACATTTACGCATTTACGAGGAATTTAAATATGCAAAAACGCGCGAGACGCGCGACGAATACGCGCGATTTAACCAAATTGAAGCACCTGTTGTAATGTGTAAAGGATTGAACAAATCTCGCGCGTTGGTTGCAATTTTTTTTAAATTGTAACTTTACGAAAATATGAATTTGCACAAGTGTTGAGAATTGAGAGTGTCGCTGCGCGCGAGTGGGTAAATTCTCGCCGCGTGATGAATATTTGGCCTGTCAATTATTCAGAATTCGCGTTGCGAAGGAATTTCACGCCACTCACTCTTCGAACATGCAATGCGCCGCCGTGAGCACCGTGTGTTCAGCTATCAAGGATCCTCCGCAAAAATGTTCCAAGTTGTGAGTTTCTCTCAAAGATACCTACGAATCATTTCCAAGAAGACAATCTACTTATTCCTCGAACCGTGTAATTACAATTGGCGTATCGAAGAAGGAAGCACTCGATCTTACAAGACGGTGCGACGCGTACCTGATAAGGAAATTGTCTCAGTGCCGCCTTTGTTCCGTTAACTATACGCCCATGCAAGTTGTAGGGTGTCCATTCTACCATTAATTTGGGATCCACGTTGGTCTTGTTCTCTCGAGCAGTTGATGACAGTGGAACGAAACCTATAGAAATTATATATAAATGTAACAATATAAGATATATAATATAATTATACATATAAATATTTTTTTCAATCAATTCAAGATACACTCGTATTTTTCGTTGATCGAAATCTTTAGATCTTTTGAAGAATTAGTACGGCGAGTTCTGTCGATAGATAAACGAATATTAGTAGAGAATTGCACATCGTTGTAGAATTATAGAACAGTATATGCTACGAATTTTCGTTTTATTGATTTTCCTCCTTTATCAGATTGTTGTATAACATTTTTTCCATTATATAAATACGCACTTTGTCGCGTTTGTGTCTTGCAATCAATCATAAGACGTAAGAATAAACAAATGAAAACGAACAGAGAATTGCACGTGGTAAAATTATAAAGCCACGCAGGCTATCTTTTAAACTTTCTAGAATCAATTTTCTCCTCTATTAAACTGTTTTTCATAAATTGTTGTCTAATTTTTCACTTTTGTCTTGGTAAATAAAAATTATTGTTTTTCAAAATCTCGTAAATTAAGGGTTACGTCGATATGAAATAATAAACGATACACATCATAAGGATAGAAAATTTCATAGAATTATGAAACAATCATGGAACAACTGCTACAATCGCGTGCGTTCATCAAAATGCGTTCATTCGTTTTGCTTGCTTACCGTTGACTAAATTATTCGTGAAAAACACGAATGCCAAAGCAAGAGGAATTATCCGCGTTTTCCCTTTCTTGTCACCTCTGCCGTGTTCCATATTGTTTTTATTGTGTCGTTAAATCGTGCTCCTCTTCCGTCGTCCACTTGCCACGGACTGATCACGATACGATTTAGAATGGATAAAGAATCTAGCTATCATCAGGTAGAACAGGCATTATCTTTAATGCGATATCTATCAGCTATCTCATATTGTATACGTCAATTAGTATTGAAATGATTGGTAAACGCTTCTTCGAGAAACAAATATACAACACAGTGCGGCTCGTGTTTTTCAAACGGGACTGTTGTAGAAACTTCCCGAAAGAATTTTATATTCAGCCAATTACGTCACTCTCTGCAAAGATAACAATCGCTCCGACCGAATACACGTAAATCGGTCGAACGTTTTTAACAATCGATCGCGATGAATACACTTGACTCGATTTTGGTCGTTTCGTCGACCTACATAGTTTGTAGGACTCTCGCGTTATATCAACTTACCAGAATACCGAGATAAGGAATATTGACGATATTGGGAAATTGAGATTTCAGTGAGGACAGAGATATACATTTCTGATAGACGATTTCTTTATCTGTTGTTGGAGTTTCTCTTTCTCTCTGTTGCATAGAAAATGGCCAATTTCACAATCGTTGAGAGTCATACGGAATTTGATGATTTGAAACTGTATCTGTGTTTGTTAGGTTACTGAAATTCAACTTAACAACTCGTTGACTTGTTACATTCGGATTAGTTGTCTGAATATTTAATTTTGATAAATTTCTCGATATCTACTAAATTTTTGACATGTTTATATAAATTTCAAAGTAGACTTGTGTTTGCATTCTATTTGTTAGAACTGAAATTCGGAAAAATTTTAAATTTCTTAACATATTGAATTTTGTACATTAATCGTAACCGTGTACGAAGTACGAACGACTATTACCGAACCAATATTTCGATGAGCGTTATTCTCAAGAAAGCTAAAAAAATATTCAAAAGTCAATAATAATTTATTGCCCCGAGTGCTAATAATTCGCCAATTACGATAAGTGTGCCCGTCGTAAATCACGTCGCGTTACAGCGATGAACAGTCTGAAATCAAACGTTCGCGTTGCTGACTATATCTGTTCCCATCGGCGAATCCCGGCGAATTCGCGGCGTTTCACGATCCATCAAAAGTCACCTGGCGATACGTGAATTCCACGAAGTCGCGCGGACGAGAACAGGTGGTGATTAACGATGCACGTGCGTCCGAGAAACAGCTTCGGCTCGAGTCGATTTCATCTCGAAGACCGCGTATTAGACGCTCGACGATCGTGCAGGCGTAAATTAACACGACGTTGGGTCGAGCATGATCAATCTTAGCCCCTGAACGAGGAGGCACGCTTTCGAGCCTCGATGAATTACGCCGAGAAACCGGTCGGCATTAAAGAACGAATTAATCGGCAAGCTATCGGTGGGAAAATAAATATTCATCGATGCACGGGACGAGAGAGGCGAGGAACTCGAAAGTGGAATATGTCGGAGCTACCGACAGTTCCGTCGAGAATTATCACTTCGTTCGAGAGCCTCGCTTATCGAACGAATTAACAAGATCGCGGGATAAGACGACATGGCGGTCCGATGCAGCCGGTGATTATTTATTATTTATAAGACCCAGTCTGGCTGCTGTAATTGTCGCGATAAATGCACGTTTCTCCCCGAGCTGTATATTTACGAGGTAGCTTCGTTTACGAGTATCTCTTTGCTACGTTCTAATCTTTCTAACAATTGAAACAATCGAGTGGAAAATGTTTAAGGTTAGAGTGTAAGAGTAGCTTCACTCAATATCGAGGTTCGTTAATATATAATTTTTTATATTTATTGATTATTTATATTTTATGATAATAATTTTATATTTATTGATTATTGATGAATGTAATAAAGTCGTTTTCTCATTGAGTGTAAGAGTAGCTTCGCTCAATATCGTTAATATAATTTTTTATATTTATTGATTATTTATATTTTATGATAATAATTTTATATTTATTGATTATTAATGAATGTAAAGTCATTTTCTCAGTTGTTACAGACACATACGAAATTTGTTTCTTTCTCTTTTATAGTTTACTAACAAGTTTCGCTTTTTAATTAATTTTGTTAATTCTGTTAGTTTGTGATCTGTTCTTTTTCCTTTCATACTTTCTGAGAATAAAATGCATTTCTATTTGTTGCACATTTCTACTGATTTTGTGTCAAAATCAAATTTCCACCCTTGTTTGTGAATTGAATTAATATACTTTCAAAGTTTATCAGTAAAGTCAGTGCTTCTCACAATATAATACAACTTCAAAAAGTTTAACACTCATGATACATCTATGAATCTTCGTAAGCACTCAGATACTTTCGTGAGTCACTGTGCATGTAAAATAAAATTTTCAACGTTCCTCTTCTTACTGATGTACACTGTGTTTTTAAGTTTCTTTCCTATTTTTTCAATAAAACATTAAACTATAAGAAAAAACTAATTTCAAATCAAATTTATACTCAAACATGATTTTTTCATTATGTTCTATAAAAAAAAGTTTTTTCAAATATATAACAAAAAAGTTACGGATATATTTATTTATTTAAATTAATAATATAATTATTTATTTAAGTTACGGATAGTAGAAAGTGATTTTTGGCCCACCAAAACGAAAAACAATTTCCTCGGTTTCCATTTTCTCCCGATCGACTGTCGTTAAGGACGAACAAACCAACTTGGGGAATATCAATTTCGCGTCATTTGCATCCTGTTGCCGGCAGATTTCGTCGCACGAAGAGACCAGATCCCGCGATGATCCTGCCGCGGAATATTTGACGACTCGGCGAGGAGAATTTACTCGCCGGGATTGATGTTTGCGACCGAGGAAATATTACGCACGGGGGGTTAGGTTGTTTACGCATCGCGTGTTTTGTTTATCGATTCGCGGAGGAACACCGAGGAACCCCAGGGATGAAAGGTCTCGGATGAAACGAGATTGGTCGGAAGGGAGTCTTCCGATGCCAGAGGAAATTATAATCCGGTTAGACTGTTTTTCTTGATACAAACAGAGAGGACGTTCGAATCTCTAAGAGGATCGCTGTTCGTTCCCCGAATATGTTAACGAAGTCGCAAGCTGGAGCGTGTTGGAAATTTTACTCGGGGGCGGATTGATCATAATGTAACTGGATTCACTTACGGTAACCCTCATCCTTTTCTATTTATTTTTTAAACAATTAGTTCTTTTCTCTCCATTTTTTAAACAATCACTTCTTTCAATTGGCACGGTAAATTAATTGCAATTGCTAACGATATATTACGATATACGTAAAATCTCTTTGCGCTAACTATGATCGAACAACAAAATGTCAGATGACGAAGTCGCACTGTGAGATCGATCCACCCGATCGGTTGATCAAAAATTGTTCACTTAGCCTACCGACATTTTCCGAACGATTATTCCTTTCAACTGGCACGGTAAATTAATTGCACAATTGCCAACGATACGCGTGAAATCTGTTTGCGTGTTAGCTAATGGTTGAACAACAAAGTTGACGAGATGACGGTGTAAACTTTGCAGTTGAACGACACGAGATCGAGTCAACTTGAAATCGTCTGACCAAAAATCGTAAACGATAGCGTTAACGAGTATCGATTAATCGTTAAACAACCTCCGCCACTTGCCTCAGCCTTTCTTAAAACGCTATCACAGCAGAGATCTCAATTAACCAAATTGCCAGGTGATAAAGCAAGGTTCCTCGAACAGAATGGCGTGAAGTCGAGCGGGTTCGATCGGATGTAGCAGTTAATTAGCATCGGACGGAAGCTTCCGAAGGGTAGTCAGATCGAACGTGACCGGTTGCGCTAGACAACGAACGGCCCCGGGGCTCTCGGCCGGTCTGTTGGCCACGCGGAGATTGTACACAGGGGTTGTACGGTCTTGTACACGGGACTGTTGGTACATGGGGGTGGGTAATGGTGGCTCCTATCAGCTCTGTACACTCTCTGCTACGCGGTGGCCCTCGCGCACCCTCGAAAAGACCGTCACGAGCAACGATATTCCGGTGAGTTACGCCGATGGTGCCCGAAACGCGCGCCCACCGACCACTTTGAATATTGGATACTCGTTTCTACTGGCTCAGAAATCCTTTCGAATTTTTCTGAATTCGTACAATTGTTCTCTATTATTTTCTTTTTTTTTTTTTCCTCGAATCACAATGACGGTCAAAAATTTGAAAACCTTCGTGAGGTTAGCGTTTGTAGAAATGGCAGGACTGTGATCGTTTATGAAGATTTATATATTTTTTTTTAATTAGAACAAATAAAACAGACACAGCGTGAACCCGATACGCTTTGTTTCACAAGAATTTTTGCGAAATGACGATGTAACATTTTACAAAACTTGTGCGTACCGTCGCTATTGTCAGAAATGTCCAGATTCAAAATTAACTTAGATAAGAAGAGAGAGAGAGAGAAAAAAATACACATTGAGCGGTATAAAGTATGAAAAGTGAGAAACAATTCGCAAAGCTTGCAATCAACGAATTCGAGTGGTACGCGCAAGATATTAAGGTAGAAACGAAATAATCTCGCTTCTCTGCTGTTCGACTGGAACCGTTTACAGCCGCCTTCCAAGTCCCTCTCTCCGTCCTCTTTCCTCCAGAGTTCCTCCTTCGACGTGGCTCTCCGTCCCTCCCACTGGTCGGCTACGTGCTACCTCCGCACGATTCCTTGTAGCCGGATCGAGGAATCATTCTCGATGGAACCGAGGATAGTGTTTATGGGACGTAATGATAAGGAATGCCGTCCCGGGTCGGTCTACCCTCTAACCATCTCGCTGCATCCTCTCGAGCCTCGTTTTGTTACGTTCGAGAGAAGACGTAAACTCCGAAACACGAAGAATGGCACGAATGGTGCGTACATCCAGTCATCGATTACTGTCTATCGTCACTTTGCGATATTCACGACGGAATATCTTCCTTGTAATTACTGTTCCTTCTCCTCTTCCATACATGCAGAAACAGAACGCGGTAACGATCGATTTCTCGAAACGAAAGAACGTACTCACACGCGATAACAATATATTATAGCTTATGTGTACGCTAAACGAAATCAAGGAGTC